TGAATTATAAAACTTTCATAACATTTTTATAACATCTATCATAACATTTACCACGTCGTCGTCGTGTTGCCGTCCTACATGCTTAGGTTTTAAATCTCGATGCGAAATATCCGGCATGTCATGTAGAACTTTCAGGCGCATTTATAGATTTAAATTTGTACACATATTAAAATCGTATGGCTAGCTAATGAAAATATATTTGGAAATAACTTGGAATGCAGTTGACCTGAAGTTTGGACTTTGTCAACCAGTTTAGGGGAGTCGTCGACGACAACTTGCCTATGGGGTTTTTATTTGCTCCTTAATCTTTTTCGCGCGATTCCGCGTTTTATCCCCATTTGCGGAATCCGCGTTTTATCCCCATTTGCGAAATTCGCTTCCGGAATCCGCTTCCGCCATCCTGTTCCGTATTCCGTTTCCGCGTTTTTGCATGCTATGCTAATATTTTGGTGATCATTGACTGTGAAAACAATGAATTTCTAAAGAAATGAATAATGATAATAACATAAAATTTGCATAGCATGACTAAATCGTCACGCTGGCTACGCCACTGGTCGGGTGTATACTAATGATTAATATAACTAAGCAACAGCCTGCAAGGTTCAGTTAACTGAAGATACTGAACCTTAAATAAGGCGTTTTTAACGCGAAGTATGCGCTTTCCTCTTCTTATTTTCATAAGAGCAATTTAAAAGCAATCCTAAGCCATGATATGATTCAAACTATTAATCCTTTTTCAAGATATCTTCGTTTTCGAAATTTCGGCTAAAACCTATTGTATTCTGATGCGCTTATAGCTGTCAGCAGATTTGAATAGCTGCTGGTGTTGGTAACGTTTTTGTCACTGCGTTAAGCCGGTTTTCCACTACCGATATTTTCGCGCGAAACGACATTTTACTTTTGTTCCAGAGCTATCAACTACAACCATCTAGAACAAATTGCTCAAATACAAAGGAATAAAGTCGCTTCGCGCGAAAATTATCGTTAGTGGAAAACCGGCTTTAGTGACACATACTCGATTGATTAGCGTTCAGGGGCCAGTTGTTCAATGCTGGGTTAGCGCTACCACTGTTTTGGCTTAAAAGTGCCTCTGAACCGCTGATCATTTTAAAAACTCTCTTATTGCGTAGAGTATGGGGGGGGGGGAAGTGGTGGGTGGGGGCTGAGGGGCTGAAGCTCCCCGGATAGCAGTATTCTAATTTTAGGCGGCGATATTGTTGTGACTCATTAGTTATTCACACAGGGATTTAAAGTGAAAGAGAAACAAACAGTGACTAATTTGTATTCATGGGGTACGTCACGTTTCGTATAATCAGGATTCCGCGACTCTTTTAAATCGTACATCAGCAATACCACCCTACAATTACACAATAAGAATGGTCACATCAAGATGGCTGCAATTATAGCTCAATTTTTATGTATACCAGATGCGCAATCCAGCATTTTTCAGAACAGTGGCGCAAACCAATACGCCCGCAATTTGCTGACCAGCGCACACGAACTGCTATGCAATTTCCCATACCTGAGACACGTGTCTAACAACACAACACTTCGTTGTTGGTATTAACGGAAGCCGAAGTTAGCAATCTGCGAACGGGTTTTTCGGAAAAGATCAGTTGAGAATATTTTCCACAGGTAAGATTTAACATTTTAATCTGGACCTGTCACTAAATGTTGGTAAATTTAAATCATTTAAATTATTGAAATCATAAATCAAATGTGAACCTCGCTTCGAAAGAGGAAATCGAAAGTGATAATGAAAGAAAGGTACTTCGTAACTCGGTGCTATTTGTTACGATCTTATGCTGTAATGTACTATTATTCATATTTGTTTTTGAACATTTGAAATTCTCTTCATGGTGTTTTTGAATATATTTTTTTCGCAGAGTTCATCTGTTCTTGTGAATACATAATAAACCGATATGCTACAGCTAAGATAGGCAAGCTTTAACAAGAGGAATACTAAAACTGAAAAAAAATTCAGTTGTGAAAATGCGGATGAATGCAGTAACAAGAATCGTCAATTCAAATATGCCGTAAAAAAACCTCGCTTGTAATAATTAAAAATTTGAAAAGTGAAACCTAAATGTCGCTACATACGCCATTGCATACGTCTGTTAGGGACGCGCTCGCAAAACAAATATCTCATACGAGACAAAAGTTGTCATTAAAATGTTTTCCTACGAGTGTCGCCATACGACGCCTACATGTGAGGGATGTTTGTAAAAACTGTTTTATCATATATATATAACGTAAATGGAACGGCATTATGAGCAAGATATCGGAGGTTCGTAGTATAATTGCATCGTTTTATTATGAGAACACAACGAAGCTATGCATTTTTCAAAGAAATCTTGTGTTAATCCCAAAGAATCTTACAATCAAGGTTAAAACACAACGTACACCTTACTTTGTATATAGGCCGTTTGCTGAGACAGCAAAATGTGCCTAGAAATCGATTTATGAAAAGCATGCCGTGGAACTGAACAAAATGCACATAGCTTACCTTTTAAAAACACCCTGAGTCCGAATCTGAAAAGTTCCCGCTCTTCCGACCTGCAGTTTTTTCACAAAATACATTTTAAATGTCACTCCTTCGAGATTTTTAAAATGAACAAGCGCCTTTTTGAATTTGTGATCGTGTAATTTTCCATCGTTCAGAATACTAAATTTTCCGTTCCAGTCTCTCGAATTCGCGGTAAATTGTCATCGTAGGCTATGGACTTTGCTCGAATATAAATAGTTCCAATCCATACACACCGGACGCGATTTCACAACGCGACGCGATTTTTTAGTTCTTGAAAGTTAATTGAATAGCCAATGAGAGCAAATTTTGAAAGATATGTAGACCAGATAACTCAAAATATTGTGGCGCTTCTGGAAAATTCAAACTAGGATCAATTTAAAGTTGATCGTCGCGTCGCGTTGTCGAATGGTGGAGATGTCGTCTATTTGCGATTTAGCACATAAAATGGATTGCAACAGCAGTATCCCATTCTGATTGTGTCACTTTATGAATATCTTTAGAAGTTGACTGTTTTAAAGACTGTTGACTCTTTACTGTTCATCCTCACTGTCCTCATCCGAGCTGTGATCGTCACAGGAGCTAAAAGTGTCGGAATCTTCATAGCACTCGCTTTCGTCATGGCTTTCGCTATAGCGGTTTTTGCAATCGTGGCATTGGCATACATCCGTACACTTCAGCGATGCCTTCAAACAGGAACATCTTCTATTTTCACAACCCTTCGTACACTTGCAGTTTACAAATTCTAAGATTGAGTCTGGGGCTGCAGGAATGGTCATCCAAGCAATTTCTACGTTTCCTTCACCATCTACTTTCCAGCCGTGGTTGTAAAATGTAGGAAGATGAAGCATTGGTTGCGTAGCATGTCGCCAGATGTAACATTGGAAATTGGCTCTGAGAGCGTGCTGGTCGAGAGAATCTTGGTTAGGCGGCAACAATTCTTCCTCGTATTTCCCTCTTTTAAATAATTGGTAACGCGCAGTATTGACGTCCGAGCATTCGTCATAACCATAGAGATGGCATACATACCTTGATAATTCCTGTTTAAGTGCATCAGATAGTACTATTTCCCTCCCAAGATTTTCGAATGTAGTGGCGTGCACCACTTTCATTTTGGCAATCTTCAATGCACTTATCTTGCCTTTGCCGTAAAAGGAACTTGTGGTATCACAACCTGTAAAAGCAAAAATGTAAGCTAAGCTATAAGCTAGCATATTAACAAAGTCATGATCCAAAATAGTAGTTACCAAGCTAAAGCGGAAAGCAGGGGCTCAGTACATATTCCAATGTTACCTCTTCGTTCACTGCGTGCGCAAATGTGAACGTAACGTTGTATAGTAAGTGAGGTTTAAAAGAAAAAGTACAGATTTAAGGCCATTCTAAATATTATAACATTTAGTACAAACCCGTAAACGCATGAAGACCTAACAAAGACCTACACCATTGGTCTCCAAGAGATTGCCTCACATTGCTGAGGGAGATTATTCGTCGTCCATGTCCTACACGTGAAAATATCAGCATCGATGTCCAAAGAGGCATTAAGTGCAATAACGAAAACATCCGTATCAGGACTTTTGATCAGAATGTTAGGGAAATGTTGAGAGGCATGTCTTGCATGGGTTATCATTCGTGTATCGGCTTCTTCGTGATCACAGGAGAGCTCTAACACCTCAGTGCACGTCAGCTGTTCGTTTGATTCAATAAAGCTATGGCATTTTTCTTCGTGTGAAAGGACCACTTGAATGCCTCTTAGCAGTCGCGGTTTGGCGTTCTTCCAGCACGTGAAAAGGAATTTCATTAATTCTTCTTTGTTTTCACCACATGACATAAATTTTTCCACTGTCGAGGAACTTTCTGCTGCTCACTGTATATTCTAACCACTTGCACTCCGCCAGCTGCTCGCCTGTTCCTCTCTAAGTTCTTAATGCTTTCACGCGGATATCGATCACAAACAAAATCTACGCGTTTGCAGTTCGAATATACGGCAGAGTTGACAACCTTCACAAGTAGTTGCGTTGCCAATTCACCGAATGTTTCTGGTATTGGAGTTAATGTTTGCAACATTGCCATTGCATCTAAAACGCAGGCCTTCTCCGTGATGGGTAACTCGCTGACTGTAGCTTCTTCTACTTGCTCTTCAACTGCGTGCAACAGCTTTGCCTTCGATGTTTTAACAATATCTCCTTCATGTGTTGCCAAAGAAGCGGGGAATGGACGAAGAGAATATTTCAGAACATTATCCATTTGTAGATTACGACTTTTGGCAATTAACAGCATTTTCGTGAAAAGGATTTTCGAATTCTTCATTGCTACAAGTTCTCCTTTCTTATTCTTACTCACCACCTTTCTTGCCTGCAAATATATGACGTAACCGGCATCAGAACGAGGGCTGCCTTTTGGCGGAGGAAACAGAATGACAATTGACGAGTACAATATACACGTGTTGCATTACGAGTTGTAAAAATAACCGTAGAAATTACAATATAAATAACATAAAACTACCTAGAGAAGAAAATGTTTCCAACTTTGTTTTCTTTATAGATTCGTAAATATTGGGCATTTCTCCAACAATTTTAGACTTCATGAAATCGTCCGCGGCGAATTTCCCCTTTTCAAGCATTCTTTTCATGTCTTCGGCAATCGCAGCGGTGGCAACTGATCCACTGGCCAAATGTACCAATTCATCTTTATCATTGTCGAATGGATTGATCATTGACTCCACCGTTTTAATGACCTCCATCACCGCCTTATCGTCCGCTGCCATCCTTGTCCGGTCTAAATCCTTTCTACTCCTATACGATAACGCAGGGAAAAGATTAGTTTCATATGAACTTCGGTGGAAATAACTTCAAAAACTCAACCTTGCAAGATTTTACCTTGCAACTTCAGAGATGTTTGCCATGGCTTCACACTGTCTTGTTATAGCACTTCTTTCTGCTTGCCCCATCAACCAACGATGTACTGCTCCTCTGTTCAACGTTTTCCCGATCAATCCACCTTTCATTTTAGAATCTCTGAAAAAAACAAAATGCTATTCGTATAGAAATGTTATAGTCAATTGAATAAACTTCTGAACTTAAAGCCTTCTAGTTAATTTACTTAATGCGTAATTAACCTGTTTAAAGTTTGCTCAATCGTCTGGTCGCAAGCAATGCTGGAAAATGAGTAGTTTTCTTGTCTCTGAACAGTCCAATTTTGAGAAATGTTAACAGCGACGTCTAAACAAAAAGTATAATTAAAGTGTAGACATTAGTATAAGATGAGGAAAAATTTGATATTCTATGCACCATTAAGAAAGCAAAATGGACACGTGTTTGAATATAGGGGAAATTACTTGCTATGTTTAGTCACGTTTCCCTTAGTTTAATCTTTAAAAATTGACTTGTTCTCGCATTTTAAAAAATATGAATATGAGGTTAACTGTTTTACGTACATGGATGAGTGATTTCGAGACACATCATTTCCAACCAATAACACGAAGCATATCTGGAATAATTCACGCGATCTGTCGCGAAGAACCATGGAATCATCGACTTTAGCGAACTTAGGTGTAGAGACCAGTCGGTGGTTCTTGTTGCCCGAATGTAAAGTAGTAATAATTGCACCATTTCGATGTAATGCGACCAGAACGAAAACAATGGATTCTCCTCGCAACGTTTCTGAACAAATAGGTCGTACATCATTTTCGCTTCCGTAACGTTGTTGCCGCTGCTGATGTCCAAAAAGTTATCTCTTTCTGGATCATCTTCCATGATACGATTGATTGACTCGAGCAGAACTTTCTCGGTGGTTGTCAAAGATTTCTCAAATGCTTGTAGCCGCAATCTTTCCATTGCCTCAAAGATGATCTTGTGTGCTCGTATGGAACGGTTTAATGCTTTCCAGTCAAGACACCTTTTAATGATCCTGGTGCTACAACTTCCGATTCGATCATGATATCCTAAAAATATATTCGCAATTAAATGTACAGCACAGAAGAGCCCGTGTTGGGATTGGCTTGTAAAAGCGAATTGAGATGATCAGCACTTATGACTTTTCCCTTGATTCGAAATGTTTATCTATCAGACATTGTCTTAGTGGCGTAGCCAGCTCGATAATTGGGGGGCTCCATAAAAACAATCGATTTCAAAAGAAATTAATAATGCAAACACGAATATATGAATAGCCCCTCACCCCCCAATTATCGATTTGGCTACGCCACTGCTGTCAATCACAAGGTTTGCTCATAAAGATTGAAAAGATAGTTACCTGTAACCCTGCGTCCTTGAAAATTTTAGAAATACCGCTGCAAAATGACATAACCGTATGAAAATCACCGAGTCTTATAACCAGACGTTCCTTCAACTCATCATCTTTCCATCTAATCATCTGAGCTTTGGCATATATGGCTTCGTCAAAAACCAAGACAATTTGGGGGATTTGAAGGCGTTGGCAAATCGAAACGCTATGTCGGAGCAATGTGTTGACCGTTGCCATGTCCGTAACCGGTGCATCAATGACTGGTAAATATGCAATGCGGGAAACACTTCGATTCACTTTGCGTACTTGAGTATTAAAGCCGGTCCATCCTGGCATTAGCTTTCCACTCTCCGAAGCATTCATTTTAGACAAAAGGTATAAAAAATCCGCATTTCTTCCCATCTCTTGCACGTGGCGATAACATTTTTCTTCCAGTGGAATCTCGGAACTTTCATCTCGCAGGGAAATATTTCCTTTCTCTTTGCTTGTGTATGGGAGAATTGTGGTTTCCGGAGCTACAATACTGCGGTTCTTCTTACTCACAACTAGTTTCGTTCCCAGAGTCTGTCCATCGTTTTCATTCTGCACGATGATGCCATTTGCTACGTGCGTTGTACCTTTTCCAGAAACCGTTTCTTCGTTATTAAAGTCGTTGTTGTCCCAAATAATCGTAGTAAATACATCTGGATTGATGCTTCGTGGAATAGAGATCTCTTTTCCCGCTTCGTCGCTGCTTATTATTGCCAACGCAGTATCATGTTTGTAGACGGTGTCCGTTGATGCTGTATGTCCTAAACCATGAAGAATTCGGAGTAATCTTACGGATCCAGTCATCTGGCGAACGGCCATCCCGAGGGCCAGCGATTTATGGGCTTGTGTCCTCCCTTTCGATTCTGCGTAAATGAGATCTTGAGCTATTGATACCACCTTCACATCTTCACTTGAGCTAATTTCTACTATTTTTTCCACTATGGGATCGGAAGAGAATCCGAGACACTATGCCAAAAAATTGTAAAGCTTTACTGGAACTGATTGTCGTGCAAACTGTAAAGTTACATCATGCGAATCAGGCGGCCACTCTGAATTAACGCCTTTACTTTCCGTTACAACTTTCTCACTTCCAATGCCGTAATATACATATTTCTAGTCATAGATTCTCCATTCGTACTTATGCTGTTATCGTCACCCTCATTTTCGTAATTATCTTCATCCTCTTCATCTTCAGATTCACTTTCCAACGTTGACATATCTTCATGGATAGCTGCAACATCGCCCGCTGTGATAGTATCGACGTAAACTAGAGTCCCTTTAGTCACGCTCTTTGAGACATGGAACACGAGCTGTGGGTAACGATCTTGGATTCTTTTCTTCAGTCTTGGCGCTTGATATGGGACATCAACATTTTCGATAGCTTGAACGCAGCTTATAAATTTTCTTAACAAGTAACCAAGTAGTAGCACTTCCTTCTTTTGAATTAGGCGTTTCTCGATTACTTCGGCGCAAAATACGTCAAATGCCTTGTCGTACAGTGTTGGAGTAGAAATTTTCGGTTTTCGGGTCAAGAATTTTGTGTATGTGAGATAGCAACGTTTGTGATATCTTGCCTCTATCGCGACACAATCTCTTCCTCTAATGTGAATCAGGACACTTTCATCATTACGTAGCAACGCTGCTTGTTCAAGGACTCCTGCAGTAACGGTTTGTGCGGTCGATAGTTCTTGTTTGACACGTTTCTTTGTAACCTAGAATTAGTTATATACTATTACTAGTTATTACTTCAATTTTTTTAAATTGATATTTTATAAAGAATGTATCTGCTAAATTCAATAAACTGAAACTAAATACCTGGTCTGTGATAAATAATGGCCCAGGCCGTTTGCAGATTAAACAAATTTCAGGTAAGACGTTTGAACATCGATGAGGAGGAGTGATCACTCTTTGACTTTGAAGAGTTTGGCGTGTTGTTCGGGCGATCTTTTCTGACCTTATGTCCAGATTCTCTTGTGCTTGCCCAATTGCTTCCTCAGCCGAACGTTTTCTATCAGTATTAGCAATGGTTCTTTTGGCTCGATCAAGTTTACTGATATCGGTGAACATGCGATAACACCCCAGATGGTAGCCATGCGTTTCTACAACGTTGCTTACGCTCAATTCGTCTGCGACTGAGTCGTCAAACAACTCTAACGATTTTTTAGCGACTGCTGTAAATGAATGGTATGATGAAGACAGACCTAACCACTGTTTTCTTACATCAATTATTTTCGCCAAAGTTTCATTTGTTAACTTTTTTATTTCTCCGCCTTTCCCGTTAAAATGAATTATGCATATGGCATCACTATCCTCACTGTAAGAAGCCATATTGAATTATAATAAAATTAAGTCACACATAGCCTACGATGACAATTTACCGCGAATTCGAGAGACTGGAACGGAAAATTTAGTATTCTGAACGATGGAAAATTACACGATCACAAATTCAAAATGGCGCTTGTTCATTTTAAAAATCTCGAAGGAGTGACATTTAAAATGTATTTTGTGAAAAAACTGCAGGTCGGAAGAGCGGGAACTTTTCGGATTCGTACTCAGGGTGCTTTAAAAAGGTAAGCTATGTGTATTTTGTTCAGTTCCACGGCATGCTTTTCATATGTGAACAATAATGGGCTTCAGCAAACGGCCTAAAGGATGACCAGGGTCGTTTTGTCCAGGCAGAGATTATGCTAGACGAAAATAAGATTCGTTTCGTCCCGTTATATGCGCCGAACACAAACCCGGCGCGTAACACTTTCTTCGCTTCGGTTGCCGACCTGATGGACCTCTCGTCACCAACGTGCATCGGTGGCGATTTTAATGCCGTGCTTGATCCTGATTTAGATCGCCGGCGACGTAAGTCCTACACTGAGACATCCAGGAACTCGCTAAGGCAGGAAAGTGTTACAGCCTTACAGTCTCTGCTGTCTGCGACGCAAACATACCCTGTTTGGCGGACCGGACTCTTCATCCTTCAGACATCACCTTTTCTTGGGACCACGCCTCGGGAGAGTTCTCCTCTCGGATTGACATGGTGTGGGCTCGCACAATTTTTGAGCAGTCAATTGTTAGCTGCGAATATCACCCCTCCTTCTTTTCTGATCACCGTTGTCGATTGCTTACTTTTAATATCGGTGACTTTTTCGTTCGTGGTCCAGGGGTTTGGAAATTTAATACGTCCCTGTTAGAGGATCCAGACTATGATAATCTAATTCGATCCTTTTGGTCTTTCTGGCAGGATCAGGAAGGTCTCTCCATCTATAGTTCTTCCCGTGATTGGTGGGATCAGGGAAAGTTTTACTTGCGGGAGATCACTCGTTCTTTCGCTCGCTCTAAGGCTGCTGGTCAGTCAAAGGAGAAGAAGCATTTAGAGAAACAAATTAAGAACTTACAGTCTCTCTTTGATGCGGGTGATTCTTCTGCTTTTGCCCAACTTTGCTCGCTACAAGAGCAGCTGCTTGGCATTCACCTCAGGGAGGCAAAGGCCTCTCAAGTTCGCTCTCGTGTCTCTGGGCCGAGGAGGGGGAGACGTCGTCCAGCTTCTTTCTCAGTTTAGAGAAGAAGCATAGGGCTAAACAATCCATCACAAAGATACGTGACCACGACTCCGGCCTTATCCATCACGACCCTTTCGACATCATGAGAGAAATGTGTCACATTTTGCCTTTCAATACGTGTGCTTGGTTATTGCACTAAAAACACCACCTTAATTCGCTACCCATGTACAATATTATTTGATATACTAAAAGTAAGATTTTAGACCGTATGCTGTGGCCGATTATCGTTCAGTTTTGTTGCCCCCCTTCGGGCACTACTTGAAAAAACGATAGAAAATTAGGATAAATTATAGAAAGTCGAAATTCACTTATTCTCACCTTCACAAACCTGCAGTTTTCGAGCATTTCATCTTCGAAAAATCAGTAAATTTGCATGTTTTGCAACACACTGACGCTATTTTGATTGAGGAAATGTCTTGGATATTTGGTGTTATATACGACATATATGGCAGATTCAGCGCAAGCAGGTTTCAACAAGGAAGCTTTGAGCGGAGTTTTACGAGGTTTTTCACAAATTTTCATAGTTTTTCAAAACTAAATTAGTCAGATAAGACTCAGACAACAATTAGTCGGAAAAACATCCGACAATTTGCGATTTTTTTATAGCATTCTGCTCTTGGAATTTACAAATAAATAAGAACAACTTTATTCACACGCATCAAAATCACCCACGAAAGTTTTTTTCTAGTCAATTTATATAAAATAATTACTACACAATTTTCAGGAATACCCCTTGTTTTATATTAACTACTTTTATAATACACACGTTTTCTCAACAAAACTACACTGGCGGTCAAAAAGAACTGCTCAAAAAGTTTTTTTTACGACTTAATACAGGAATGCATAAAGTCACTCTTTTGAAACTGTAAATTAAATTAAATATGTACAATTTTTGTATTTAGTATTTGGTAGGCCCTCTTCTAGCCTTTACGATGGCTTTACACCTGCGAGGCATGCTATCTATCAAGTTCCTTAGGTTATCTTGAGGGAATTCTCTCCAAGTAGTTTGG